CTGGACTTGCTTCGGATGCTGGATCTGACCTATATTTTCCGGATGAGTAACCAGGTTAAAGTTTTTGTAGCAGATCTCATTTCCAAGTAACTATAAGCCCTATATTGACTAAACTTGCATGGATGATATATCTAAGGATGTACACTACTGGACTTGCTTCGGATGCTGGGTTTGACTAACATTTTCTGGATGAGTGACCAGGTTAAGGTTTTTGGAGCAGATATCATTTCCAAGTAACTATAAACCCTATATTGACCAAACTTTTATGGATGATACATCTAAGGATTCACACTACTGGACTTGGTTTAGGATGCTGGATCTGACCTACATTTTCTGAATGAGTAACCAGGTTAAGGTTTTTGGAGCAGATCTCATTTCCAAGTAACTATAAGGCCTACTGTAGATTCCTAAATATATGCGAGGAATTAAATATCGCGTAATTACGCGAGAAGAACCACTCGCGAAATAAAATTACTCGCTTTAATTTTTATGGTGCTGAAATCCATGTGAAAACTCTTGATCAAGCGACCACCCGCGAATAATACTTCTCGCGCTTTGTCGTCAGAGGGCCATTTCGCGATATTAAGTACTCGCGTAAAATAAGGAATCTGCAGTATCTGAACCAAACTTGCATGGATGATGCATCAAGGGATGAACAATCTCAAAACTTGCTTTGGATGCTGGATTTGACTTACATTTTCTGGATGAGTGACTAGTTTTAAGTTTTCAGATAAGTCTATTCCCAAGTAACTGCAAGCCCTATCAGACCAAAATTGCATAAATGTTGCATCTAGGGATGCACACTCCTAGATTATTAGTTTAGTGTGGGACTTTGCCTTACTGAAAGACAACATTCGTTGAGGTGAGCTCTGTAATCTCTGATTACCTATGTTTTAAAAATAGTTTCATAATTTATCATAATATCAAGATACGTATCGTATCGTGTTATATGTATCGAGATACGTATAATATCGTAAGATCTGTGTATCGTCCCACCCCTAGAATATATAGGAAAAATCTTCAAAAATCTTCTTCTCAAGAACAGCAAAGCTATGATTAGTCATGTTTATTTGGAAGCATCTTCAGGTGGTGTAGATTCAAGTTTGTTCAAATCATGACCCCCAAGGGTAGGGTGGGGTCACAATGGACAATCAAAGTTTTACATAGGAATACATAGGAAAAATCTTTAAAAATCTTCTTCTCAAGAACAGCAAAGCAATGATTGGTCATATTTATGTGAAAGCATCCTCAGGTGGTGTAGATTCAAGTTTGTTCAAATTATGACCCCCTGGGGTAGGATGGTACGATGGCCGACAGCGGCCGCCACTTTCTGATTAAGAATATTGTCGTTTTGTACAGCTTTTTTGTCAATTTTCGTTGACATATTACAACTAAACTGGTAATGCTATATGTACATGTACACTTTTTACACTGACAATTTACACCAGCGAAAAACATTAAAATTCTTTCGTGTGATATGAAATTAAGATACATATAACAGGTGGCTTGAAAGAGATAAGGAGCATTTTAATGATTTTCACCCTCAATTTGCCTGAGATATCGTAACCCAGTTAATCCTAGATTAGACGTAAATCGTCATTCTGTCACCTTGTATTATTAAAAACATATTCTTGGGATTGTAATTAAAAAGGCGAATAAAAGTAATACGTTTGTTGTAATGGATATACATGAATATAATGGATATATCTCGATCCTCAGATTGTATGAGACAACTCGATTCTACCTATTATGTAGAGGTAGAAAAACAGGATTTAGTAGCTCTACATGTGAGCATCCAATCAAAAGTTTATGGAATGTATCAAAAACAAAACTTTAGATACAGAAATATACCCGTTTTTAAGCAAGAATAAAATGACAACCTTAAATGTGGGAGTCTGTATTTGCTCTCTAAATACATAAAATTAATAACTGAATGCTTGAAACACTTTTAAAGCCAACGCAACCTCTCAAGACTTCCATCTGGTCGGCCAATTATTTTTCAATGTGGCACGGGAATGAAAATATATGTACATGTAACTAACGTGATCATTTCCTCGTGCGCATTGTTTAAAAAACAAAATTCATACATCAAAGACACGTCCGATTATGAACAAAATCAAATTTCTGATAGACCTGGAAAATTTCATCCTGGTTACCTATGATGTGACCAGCAGGTACACCAACATGGAATTTTATGAATTAATTACTACAATCTGTCGAGAAAGTATATCTAGAAGACAATACTAATCTGTAATCACTCCGACCTTGCTGTTCTGCTAGAACCTTAAGCTTATCACCTTCAAGTAACCTGTTTTATGTATCTTCATTTCATATCACAAGAAAGAATTTTAATGATTTTCTCCAGTGTAAATTGTCAGTGTAAAAACTGTATATGGACATATAGCATTACTAGTTTAGTTGTAATTTGTCAACGAAAATTGACAAAAAAGCTGTACAAAATGACAATATTCAGAATCAAAAGTGGCGGCCGCTGTCGGCCATCGTAGGATGGAGCCACAATGGACGATAAAAGTTTAACATAGGGGTATATAGTAAAAATCTTAGAAATTTTTCTTCTCAAGAAGAGCAAAGCCATATTTGGTCATATTTATATGGAAGCATTTGCAGGTAGTGTACATTCAAGTTTGTTCAAATCATGACCCCCAAATGTAGGGTGGGGCCATAATGGATGATCAAAGTTTTACATAGGAATATATAGGAAAAATCTTTAAAAATCTTCTTAAGAACAGCAATGCAATGTTTGGTCATATTTATGTGAAAGCATCCTCAGGTGGTGTAGATTCAATCTAATTAAAATTAGATGTTCTGAATCCGCTATCGCTTCTCAAACATCTAACAACATCCTATTTGGGGTCACGTCAGAGTGACCTTTCGATTAACCAATGAAATCGCTGCCTCCGAAATCTTGGTTTGTAGTTCGGATGTGTTTCTTTTTTCACTGCCAAACCTAAACACCAAAGGAGTTTCGTAATAAACAAATTATGCATGGCAAAGGCTGTGCTATGTATGAATGTGACGTGCGGGATATCTTGTATAGTTTGTGCATTCTAGTTTGCGTTATTCAGGTAAGAATGTAAGAATGCCAGATTGGCGAACTATTCATTCAATTTATACCAAAATTACTTTAATTCAACGTGAGACAGACTACTGAGCATCAATAATTGTAAGATGTAACTGTGGAACTAATTTTAGAGTCGTACACAAAAGCTCAAATCTGATTGGCCAAGATTTTCATGTTTATTCATAACCAAAAGGTCGCTCTGACATGACCCCGAAAGGGATGCTGTTAGTTGTTTGAGAAGCGGTAGTGGATTCGGAACATTTAATTTTAACTAGATTGATGTAGATTCAAGTTTGTTCAAATCATGATCCCTGGGGGTAGGATGGAGCCACAATGGACGATAAAGTTTAACATAGGGGTATATAGGAAAAATCTTCAAAATTCTTCTCCTCAAGAACAGCAAAGCCATGATTGGTCATATTTATATGGAAGCATTCTCAGGTGGTGTAAATTCATATTTGATCAAATCCCCCCAGGGGTAGAGTGGTGCCACAATGGAAGATCAAAGTTTAACATAGGAGCATATAGGAAAAATCTTAAAAATTCTTCTCAAGAACAGCAAAGCCATGATTGGTCATATTTATATGAAAGCATCTGCAATTGGTGTAGATTCAAGTTTGTTCAAATCATGACCCCATAAAATATAGGGTGGGGCCATAATGGACGATCAAAGTTTTACATAAGAATATAAGGAAAATCTTTAAAAATCACTTCTTAAGAACAGCAAAGCCATGATTGGTCATATTTATATGGAAGCATCCTGAGATAGTGTAGATTCAAGTTTGTGCAAATCATAACCCCCTGGGGATAGGTGGGGCCACAATGAAAGTGTAAACTTGTAGGAAAAAAGGACACAGTCAAAAAAATATGTAAGCATTTTTAGTTAGTGTAGATTCAATTTGTTCAAATCATACCCTCCCCTTCCCTTTTAGGGGTAGGTCGGGACCACTTATGCATTTAAGCTTTTCAATACTAAACTGATTTTTGCGTTTTCCTAGCCACAGTGCTCAGGTGAGCAATGTGGCCCCTGGGCCTCTTGTTAACCTTGTTATTTATTACATATCTTTACACTTGAGACAAATATTTGAGTAGAAATATTACATGAGCTGCCTGCCATATTACAATGTTGTGACACCCAGTGACCTCGAACTGGAAGTTATTTGCTCAAGAAAGTTTGCCTAGCTCCAACATTTGAATGTTACTGTTGATGTTTAGCAATTAAGTTCAGGGAATTTCTGTTTATAATGATAGAAGAATGATTGTATTGAGAATTATCATGTCATTTTATGAGTTCTGTATATATGTTGAGTCCAAAGTGGTTGTATTGTCCGTTTCAGTTTATATATAATCTTCAAAGGAATTTCAGGTTTGAAAGGTAAGCACGATTTTAATTATCAAAACCATTCTGCACACCAAAGAATGATTTAATGGACGTGTTGATTGAAAAAAATATCCATATGTTTTAATTATCTTGTCACTGCTATTAAGCTAGAAGTCTTGAAACCAGTTTCACTGTGACAGAAGTATGAAGGCAAGATATCATCTCGCTATGTGATTCAGTCATGCCATGACCTCTGACCCTAATAAGTTCATACAGAATTGAACATATTTTCTCTTCAATAAGTTTATCTAAGGAAAATATTTGCCAATGTAAATGTATGTATGTATAGTTAGGTGTCATGACTACTGGTATTAATTACATAAAATTTCCTGTCTAGCTGGATTTTGAAATGAAGGATTTTACTTAGTGGTGGGTATATTATTGTTATTTGATAAACACAGTGTATTAAAGGAGAACTGAAGAATTTCAATGGTTAACCCATTTACTTGGTTTCCCCTCCCCCACATTTCAGGGTTTGTATATTCACAAGTGTAGGTCTTTTATGTCTGTAGTAAAGGTAAGTTCAATTTCTTACAGAGCCCAGTAGTATAGAGCACGTACAGGTGATAGAAATGCCTATCATCGACAGTCTTCACCCTCGACCAAATTACCTCCCCCTGTCTTTCCCAAAGGACCTAGCAGACCGTTTAATCCGTCTCCATGGTGACCCGACTGTGTGGTGGATTGGACAATTTGTAAAATACCTCACACGACCTCAACCTCATCTTAAACAGGAGTTGGAGCGAGCAAAGCAAAAACTGAACTTTGTGGGACCTATTGTTGGGTAAGAAAAAAAAGAGAGAATCAATTTAGTAAAGAAAATTTTTTTTTTTGGGGGGGGGGGGGGGGGAGAGGAAAGGATTTCCTAATATTAACTGTTTATGTTCTCATGTTTGGTAATATTTAGCCCCATTGAGCTTATGTGATGGTAAGGGGCAATGATGTCCATCGATCTCTCTATAGCTTTCTCTTTGTTTATATTTTTTTTCCAAAATGATAATCTTAACTTAGCATGTAACTATATAACACAAAGGTACATAAGTCTTTACTTGTTTTTATGCTTCACCATGAATTTGCCACTTAGAGTTTGTCATTATCTAGAGATTATCCTATTTCTACTGCATAACTTAAATCAAATTTTCATTGAATAATTCATTATTGACATTTTCAGGTGACCTATTGCAATCTGTTTTCGTCCGTCATTGTGCGACATGCGTCGTTAGTCGGTCACAAACCTTTGAACATTTTTAGATTCTTCTCTGAAACCACTGAACCAATTTCAACCAATATTGTGAAATTCATGGCCCCTGCCCCCCTGGGGCCTGAGGGGTGGGGCTAAAAAAATCAAAATAAATGCAATCTTTAAAAATCTTCTTCTTTACTCCTGGACATCAAGCATTCAAACTATTGGAATAAGCATTGAACCCTCTACCATAATTGTGAAATTCATGGCCCCAGGATTAGGAGTTCTGGCACTAGGGCAGGGCTCTAATGATTATAAAGTGAAAATGCATTAATTCTTTAAAAATCTCCTCCTCTGCTCCTGGTATTAAGCCGATGAACTAAGTACATAGTTATGATGAAGAAGAGTGCCTCCTCCAAAATTGTGAATTTCATGGCCCAAGAGTCAAGGGTTCTGGTGTTAGGGCAGGGCTCTAATGATTATATAGTGAAAATGCATTAATTCTTTAAAAATCTCCTCTGCTCCAGGGTATTAAGCCAATGAATTAAGTTCATAGTTATGATGAGGAAGAGTGTTAAGTACAAAGCTATAATGAAGAAGCATACCTCTTCTTAATATGTGAATTTAATGGCCACTGGGTCAGGGGTACTGGTGTTGGGGCAGGGCTCTAATGATTATATAGTGAAAATGCATTAATTCTTTGAAAATCTCCTCCTCTGCTACTGAGTATTTAGCTGATGAACAATGTACATAGTTATGATGAGGAAGAGTGCCTTTTCCTAATATGTGAATTTCATGGCCCCTGGGTGAGGGGTACTGGTGTTAGGGGCGGGGCTTTAATGATTATATAGTGAAAATTTATTAATTCTTTGAAAATCTTCTCCTCTGCTCCTAGGTATTTAGCCGATTAACTATGTACATAGTTATGATGAGAAAGAAGAGTGTCTCTTCCAAAATTGTGAATTTCATGGCCCCTTGGTCAGGAGTTCTGGTTCTAGGGGCGGGGCTCTAATGATTATATAGTGAAAATGCATTAATTCTTTGATAATCTTTTTCTCTGCTCCTGGGAATTAAGCTGATGAATTAAGTACAAAGTTCCAAAATTTTGAATTTCACAGCCCCTGGGTCGGGGATTTTGGGGGGGGGGGGGGGGGGGGGGGAGGGGTATCTAATATGAACTGAAAATATGGCCCCTGGGATGGGGTTCTTGTGCTTGGGTGGGGCTCTTTTGATTAATTAGCAACAGTGCAGACCTGTTTACTCTTACGAATTCGCCGTATTTTGTACAGATTTTGAGTCCAAAATACATCTCATGTTTTGCTATTTTGAAGGTACTGAGATCACAAATCCGTTCATTTGGATTTTAGCAGTTAGTTTCTCAGTTTAATGCTTTGTAATCCTACAAAAAGCGAAAGATTTCAAACACTTGAGCAAGTTTTGTTAAACCATGTTGTTATTTGTTATTAAACCACGTTTAGGTAATCAAAAGTGAGTAGTTTTCTAGTAATATATGTAAAATCAATGAAAAGTGAAATCTTACTGGCAAATGCCAAATCTCACTCATTAATGCTTTGGCAGTCTTTTCCTCTGCCCCTGAGTAGTAAGCAAACAAACTAAATGCAATAATATCAATGTGAATGTATTAAATATAATTATAAGAACACAAGAAAGAATGTTATATACATAGAAACAAAATAAAAATGAATGTTTGGTTTAATTGAACAAAGCATTCTCAAAGTCAGATTCTTGCCTAGAAAGCGATATAAAAGATTGATATGGAGATTATTTATATACTTAGCAGAAGTTGCAATTGTACACAGTATATTTACACTGTGGTGATCTGTTTGACAGTAAATGAGTTATTGTCATTGATAGAGTCATGCTGGCCGTAATTAGACGATAAAACGCCCGTAATATAGGGTCCTCGAAGTAAAAATCTCCAGTAATTAGATAGGGGTCACGTGGTACTGAAATGTCATAGGTTTATCGTAAGGCTTATCGTAAGAAAAAATATAATGAATAGATTTTTACGCTAAATAAATAGAATACACAATATGGCTGGTTGAAATTTTGACATCGACTATATTCCTTTGGTTAAGGTTGACAAGAGACTGGATAAAGTTGTTTTATACTTTATCAAAGTGAACAATGAATCACAGAGAGCCAGGGTGACTTATTGTAATTAGTGACAAGTGACAAATGGGCCCCTCATCCAAGCATACCCTGGATGTGATGGATGAGGGATATTCTTGGAGTACAGCCTGAGGCTGAAGAGTATCAATAGCATATTTCTTGACCAATAACAATACCGACCGCCATGCTTCAATCACTCATAATCTAAAGCAAATTTATTGTCAATGCATAAAATAAAAAAGAGGGGGTATAATTAAGTGATGTACTAATCCATGCATTCTCACATGGGTGGGAAAGTTGATACTCTTCAGCCTCAGGATGTACTCCAAGAATGTCCCTCATCCATCACATCCAGGGTATGCTTGGATGAGGGGCCCATTCTTTTCATACAGCCTTTGGCTTTCAGAGTATCAATAGCATGTTTAAAGAATTGACAATAAATTCATCATATCAATCACAGTTTAACCCTTTAACCCCCAAAGATGCATTTGGACGCATTTTCAGCATCACAGATATTTAACTGTTGGCGTTTTCTAAATATTCGGGTTACAACAAAACAATTGATATTTTCTGAAACTAGAGAAGAAACTACACATTTTTTCTACTCAAAAATTTTCTGTGCGATGTTGAGAAATTATCATAAACTTGAATTGAATATTGCATATCATTGCAGGAAGTTGATAAAACTACGCATAAATGACTGATTTTGTGCTATCTTCTGTTGGCTTTATCTAAATTACAGACACAACAAAATAAAAAATGAATGCCATAACCTGAAAGCTGGGAATATGTCCAACATTTTTTATTCAGGACATTATAAGGTACATGCATCCGTTACAGAGATATTTGTTGTTGAATATTGGAATTTTTACGAGTAAAATACACAAAATGCACTATGACGTCATTTGACGTTTTACATGCACAATGAAATCGTTCATGAGCTCAGTGTAAAACAAACTGGCTCTTTTGATATATGGAACAGATTTATTTTAGAAAAAAATGAATTATTTGTAAAGAAGAGTTAATGTACGACACGTTTTGAGCCATAAACATGCAATAAAAGGAATTTTCCGTAGCTTTAGGAGATATATTATATACATGTAGTAATAGTCTTCCACCCAACGCCCCGATTGCGTGCACCCATTGTATCAGAAATCCCTGTCGAATTTTGTGTCAGTCCTACATGTAGTAGATATAATTAATCAAATAATTAAATACAATCCTTACCATTTTCCTAATCTTCAGATTTATTATTGAAAAATGAAAAAAAAACCTTTTTTTTAGTACTTGGTGTACTTTGAAAGGAAAAGTGCATTTTTATTAAAGCCACAGGATAGATAACACAGTTATCCTTTTTTAATGATTAAAAGATGAAAAAAATTGTCAAAATGAAAAAGTATATCAGAAGTACTACGTCGTATGTCGTAAACATAGCCAAACAACCAGCTGATTTTAATCAGATTGCTAAATTTATAGAAATAATTTCTGAATATACACACACAGGAAACTCAGGTTTCTTTGTTCGTGTTAAATTCATTTTTCAGTCTTCACAGAGTTAAGAACAAGTCTATATCAAACTGGATAAAATGGAAAACTTGGGATAACTAACAAATTCTCCCTCATTGCCTAATCCTTTACAGATTAGCCGGGATTACAAGTTTGTGTATTGAAGAAACTGAAAAGTTGAATCTACTGCTACAACAAAAATAAAACAGAGCGAGCATGTAAAATATTTGCCAGAACATCGCGCGAAAATAGCAAAATGCGCTTTTGAATATAAAAACCGCTATTTTAATATTTTCTAAAAGCTGTGGAGAAATGTTAATGAAAGTACAATCAGAAGTATCCGGAAACTATGCCTAAGCTCTATAATTTTGAAAAAAAAAAACTTGTGTTTTTTCACTATAGAAATCAACGTAAAATATTTTTACAACATCCCCCTCTCCTTTTTACAGCAATTTTGAATTATTATTTAACAAATTCATACCAAAACTCTAGTTGTTCCTGGGGGTGGGGGGTTTTTGTTTACAGATAAATTACATGAGTTAAACATATGGAAAAAATGAAGGATCATTTATCCATGTCTATGAGTATTTTAAAATCTGAGTACTATTTTAAAATCTCTGGGTGTTTTAAAGCCTGATTTCAATGGATATACATCTTCTAGACCCCTTATAAAAGGAGTTGTGATTAAGAGTAATGGACAATTTGACACTGGTATTAATAATGTTATACTGTAATTTTTTAATTTACCGGGTGGTAGTAAATACAAGAGGCTGGGCCACATCACTCACCTGAGCTCATTGGCTAGGAAGAAGCAGTAATGAGTTCAGTATTGAAGGGGGGGGGGGGGCAAACTTTAATTTTAACTACCTCAGGATTCTTCCATATCAATATCACTAATCATGGCTTTACTGTTCTTAAACAGAAGAATTTTAAAGATTTCCACCATCATGGTAGCTCATTCT